TGCAAGAAGATCAAACCTATCCATTCTGAAGGAAATCAGCCCTGAGTGCTCACTGGAAGGACAGATCCTGAAGCTGAGGCTCCAATACTTTGGCCACCTCATGAGAAGAGAAGACTCCCTGGAAAAGACCCTGATGCTGGGAAAGATGGAGGGCACAAGGAGAAGGGGGCGACAGAGGACGAGATGGTTGGACAGTGTTCTCGAAGCTGCCAGCATGAGTTTGACCAAACTGCGGGAGGCAGTGGAAGACAGGAGTGCCTGGCTTGCTCTGGTCCATGGGGTCACGAAGAGTCGGACACGACTAAACGACTAAACAACAACAACATACCACCTGGGTTAGCACAGCTGGTAGAGCATGAGCCTCTTAATCTCCAGGTTGTGGGTTTGAGCCCCATGTTGGGCAAAAGAATTCTTGCCTTGTGGGGGGGGGTCATCTAGTCCGATGACCCTCAAGCTCCCTTCCAACTCTACAATTCTATGATTATTCTATCTGATATATTTAAAGCTCTAGGATACCACTTTAAACAGTCATGGCTTCCCCCAAAGAATGCTGGAAAGTGGTGTGTTTGTTAAGGGTGCTACAGTTCCCAGGGTGGTTGAACCATCCATCCCTCTTCCCAGAGAACTCTGGGAACTCTCATTCTGCAACAGCGACTGATAATGGGGAGCACATCTAAAAGTAGTGTGAAGAAGAAGAAGAGTTTGGATTTGATATCCCGCCTTTCACTCCCTTTCAGGAGTCTCAAAGCGGCTAACATTCTCCTTTCCCTTCCTCCCCCACAACAAACACTCTGTGAGGTGAGTGGGGCTGAGAGACTTCAAAGAAGTGTGACTGGCCCAAGGTCACCCAGCAGCTGCATGTGGAGGAGTGGAGACGCGAACCCAGTTCACCAGATTACGAGTGCACCGCTCTTAACCACTACACCACACTGGCTCCCACTGTGATTCCCCTTAGGAGTCGTTTCATTGACTGCTTACACCGGTTTAATAAATCCCCAATGAATTTTGTAGACGGGCTTAACTCTTAATTCTTCTCCTTTGTCTGCTGCTCTATACTGCAGTTGGCCTCCTGTTATTGTGAACATTATACAGCCATCTACTGGGAAAAGTCTATAAATGTTGAGCTTTTCGTCTTCTGTTTAGAATTAGTCGCAGGACTGAAAATTCTTTGCACCTGACAAAAACAGGTTCTGTTGAAAGCAATCCCACGTGGGTTTTCAGAAACATTTATATTTAATTAGTTAATTAGTTGCCTTTTCTATGGGTCCCAAGGCAATTTGCAAAAATACCGCAAAGACAACTAAAAAACAGTTTTTTAAAACTGTGTAAACAACTGAAGATTTGGTTTCAAAAAAAACACGCAACATGAACCCCAAAGGCAGAGACTTTTTCACCGAGCTTGAAAAACTTGTCAAAACAAACATGTATTCAACTGTACCCAGTAAGTAGAGGAATTCTTTTTCACAGAAGTGGGATAGTCACACAGAAAGCCCCACTCTGAGTTACTATGGAGGAGACCTCTGAAATTTTGGGAAGCCAAAGAGAAATTCTGCCATATTGGAGCTCAGATGTTAGACTCCAACTCCCAATACTGTAAGAGGCAGGAAACATCCATAGCACATTTGGGCTAGAAACATGCATTTATGTTTTCTGTAGATCCCAAGACAGAACCTTCCCAAGAAATTTCACTTGCTTTACTGCAACTTTTCTAGTTCCACTTGAAATTTTCACTCGAGCAGAAACTTCCAAGCCTGCCTTGAGATTTTGCTTAAATAAACTTTGCTGGCTTTCAGAATCTGAAGGCCCGTTGCCATTTGGAATTTGCATGCGGGTAAGAGAGAGATAGATGCCAACATGGTGGGTGAGAAGCAAATTTCAAAATTGGGGCACGGTGCCTTGCCAAAAAAGAAGGAATGCTTCATCAAAAAAGAGGGCTTTCCTTCAATTCTCATACTCTGATTTATATGCATAAGTGCAACTTTAGAAACTATATAATTTAAATAGAAATTCAATACCTCTTACTATAGTGAGGAAGACTCTGACTAGCTGACCTGTGTGTGCCTGTTGAGGGTTCATTCAGATGTGGGGAATATCACATTAGTGTTCCAGTTTGTTAATAGGTGGATTGTGGGCCAGAAAAATGGTTGAAGGGGAGGCATATTAACCTCAGGAAGATGTACTAGGAAGATGTGTGCTCTTCCATACCCTTGTGGAGCCCTCATTCATTTCAGTGGGCCTATTCAGGAGTACTGTGACCTTAGACTTGTGGTCCTCCTGATGTTGCTGGACTACAACTCCCATCACCCCCGCTGACCGTTCCTCACACTGGCTGGGGCTGGAAGGAGTTGTAGTTCTACAACATCTGGAGGACCACTGGTTCCGCATCCCTGTTTTATCCAATCAGAACCTCTGAAGGACAACCTCAAGTTCATCAATCCCAATAAAATTTGCCAGCAAGGCACTGCTTATCCATTGTGGACATCACAGCGGTTGCTATTGGCTTGGATACAGCACATCCCTTCTGTTAAGGTAAGCAGACCTTCCATCCTGCAGAGCACATGGAAGTAAAGCAAGGAAAAGTTATTTTCTCTGGTTGGCACTTCCCTTTGGACTGGCCCCTGCAACTTCCCATAGGGAAGGGCCTTTGCTCAGTAGCAGAGCACCCGCTCTGCATGCAGAAGCTCCTGGGCTCGATCCTCAGTATCTCTAGGTCCCGGACCCTAAGGAAGTTAGATTATCCTCCACCAGGGCCAGGGCCTTCTCAGTGATGGCTCCGACCTGGTGGAATGCTCTGCCCCATGAGACCAGAGCCCTGCAGGATTTAACCTCCTTCCACAGGGCCTGTAAGACAGAGCTATTCCGCCTGGCTTTCAACTTGAACTTAGCCTGATCTTTTATTCCACTTCCTTCCCTCCCCCTCCCCTTTTTATGAAGATTACCTGCTCTGGGATCCCACAGCTAATTCTCCCCTGGTTTCCACACTGGCCCAAATAGGACTAATTTAGCCAGCTAGCCCTGGTGATCATCTAATGTTTATTGGATGGATTTCCCCCCTAAATTGATTTTTGAATTCTGAATTTATTGTTATTTGTGTTTTATACTGTATTTTATGCTGTTTTTTGTTGCATCAATTAAGTGTTTTAAATTTGTTGTTAGCCACCCTGAGCCCCGTTTTTGAACAGGGAAGGGTGGGGTATAAATAAAAAATTATTATTTATTATAGGTAGGGTTGCTAAATATCCCTTCCTAAAACCCATAGAGCTGCTTCCAGTTAGTGCAAACAATACTGAGATGGATGGACCAATGGTAAGGTGGTTGCCTATGCTCCTATTTTCTTCTGGATTATCTCCCAACCCTTCAGAGTAGGCTTTCTTTTTTGGGTTGGGGGGCAAAAGGGAAACCTGAGGCCCAAGATCAAACTCATGCTCATGGAACTGTGGCTATTGTCCAATAATAACAAGAGCAACAAGCCTCCTTCCTTGGAGGTTTTTAAGCAGAGGTTGGATGGCCATCTTTCATGGATACTTTAGCTGAGATTCCTGCATTGCAGAGGGTTGGACTTGATGATCCTTGGTGGTCCCTTCCAACTCTACCATTCTTTGATTCTATGAAGCCTTGAAAACATTTTAGATCCATGTTGCCTGGGATCCCAGATGTAAAAGCATGACGAACAAACAGTCCCCATTAGAGTTAATCCAAAACATCTACCTTCTTTCAGCCATGTATAAGAGAGACTCTTGTTTCCACAGGGGATTCCCGTGCCGCCGCCGCCAGTATTAAGATTTCCTTCTCTTAGATGCGAATGGCAGTGACTTCTCTACATTTTTGCCCATAAATTTTTAATCACAGCCTCTTCTCTACCGCCGATGATTGAGTTCCCTACCGCAGCTAATGGCATTTCTTGTAATATTCATCCATTTAAAATATGTATGTGGATGCCATATCTTATTTTTCAAGGGGAGCTTGTGAAAGGCCACGAGCAAGTAATAGCAGTCGCAAGCCTGTTAAACCACGACACACTTGCCATATGTTTGATCACGGGCGCAGTCGTAAAATACAGGACTCCCTGTCTCAAGCAGGCAATGTTTCACACAAGGTCGGTGCAATAGTCTGCGTGGCATTTTGCCATCTGCCTCAATCTTAATCCAAATGAAGCCCCGGCTATAAATTTGCTTTGACTTCAATGGGAATGGGATTGAGTGTCTAAATGTATGCCCTCTGTCTGAAATACATTCAGAGACAGCGTACCTTAAAAAGTCAGGGGGGTCAAGCTACTCTAGGTGGATTAATTTTTAAACAAGAGGCATTTGCTGAGTAATTACTTTATGAAATGGTTCTTTGAACCAGACAGGCTTCTTCTGCTAGGGCCAAACTAACCACCGTACTAACCAGAGGCACCATCTTCTCCAGATGATTGAGGGGGTCCAATGTAATGTCCTGGTGTCATGTGGCCAGCATCACATGACGTCCTGACAACTTGTGCGTGACGTTCTGAGGAGCCATGGGGTGGAGCTGAAAACCCTCTGAACATTGAGGGGGATCAGCTCCCTCAGAAAATAAATTGGGATGGGGCAAAAGTGCCTCGGCCCCTAGGAGTTGGCGCCTGTGATACTATACTGAAGATTCATTCCTTTGCTGTGCCTGATTTATTAGAATCAGCTGGGATTAAGACCAGACTCTTCCTGGTTTGTCCAAGACTCCCGCAGAGCCAATCCAAGACATTCTGCTGCCTGTTCAAAGGTGACCCCCATTAAACATCCAGAACCCAAACAGACCGACAACATTGCTAACGTGACAGCATCCTTCACTGTACCTGACAAGCATGGGATGATGGGAGTTGTAGTTCAGCAACATCTGGTGGGCCAGAGAATCCCCACACCTGATCTGGAAGGGCTTCCATTTCCATCTGCTGCAAGCAGATTCCCTCCCGCTTCCAGCCATTTTGTAGCCAGGTCAGATTGCTTGCCAGGAAGGGTTAATATTTCCATCGCTTCCCATACCTTTGGGCTGGCACGTTGCTCCGCTGTATCCGGGGCAGCACTTCCAGTCCAGTGATGTCACTATCATATGTTTGACCCTGTAAGCTTGGCGAGTCCTTGACTGGGAGCTGCAAGGTGATTTGGAAAGCAAACGTTAGCGGGGCTCTGTCTCAGATGAATGGACATGATACAGGATGATACATCAGTAATAGGCCACTGAGGGATTATTTTTGAAGTCTATTGATTGCGTCCTGTACAAGACCACAAGCAAACGCTTTTACAGAACAGCCTCGTGTCAAACCTAGTGAAAATAAAGACCTCAGGAGCACAGCTGAAATTAAGAGTTGAGGCAGGGGGGTGGTTTTATTTATTTATGCAGGCATTGATTTAAAATACTTAGCCACTCTTCAGCGAAAGATCTTGGAGCAGCTTCCAAAGTTGGGCAATGGAACGTTAAAACCATATTTTTTATAATAAAAAAATCCCACAAAGATAGCAAGATACAACAGAGCAATAAGAAAGCAATATAAACCCACTAAAAAGATATCAAGCTATTAGAAGGCCTGGACATCTTATATAGGTTTCATCTGACCAAAAAATAAAATAAAGAAATGAAGGGGGTGTCTCTGGGGAGAGCCTTCCAGAGATGAAGAGCCACAACTGAAAAGGCCCTGTTTCCTGTCAACATCCACCCATCGACACCAAAGAGATTAAAAGCAGAGCCATGGGGGCTTTTCTTAATGCTCAGGCACGTTCATGGAAGAAAGGGCACTCCTTCATGTCTCTGGAAGGCAGAAATTTGGGGTGAATGGTAGATGTCAACATCTTATATAATGTACAAACCAAATCCAGAGGATCCCCCCTCTGTCAGGAGCAGATGCCAGGAGCCAGTCAGCAATAACTTGCATGGTTTATTCAAAGAAACAAGACAGCTCAGGATGTCAAGTCTAGAGAGTACAGCAACTCTTCCCGTAGAACTTGCCCTTATGAGGCAGTTGCCAAGACTAAAGGTTCCTGCCTCCCAATAGCCAGCTATGTCTCCTCCCCTCCAGGGCTTTTTCCAAGCAATCAGAGACTGTGCCTGCGTACCTGTCTTTGCTCCTCCCGCTTCATGCTCGTTGCAGCATGGGTGGGACACCTGTGCCTCCCACAAGCATGACCCATCACTGCTTCGTGGCCCACCTCCTCTCCAGCCTCCGCTTCTGCCTCTGGTTCTGGACTGTTCTCTGCCACAGACTCTCCCTGCTCATTAAACCCTGTTGCCTCTTCATCTTCCGACACCTCCTCCTCCCAGGCTGCTCCCTCTGGCCACTCACTGTCATCCCAGCGCCAGCCCCCTGGCTCTGAGCCTTCTCACCTTTGGGGGTTCCCCAGATGGTGCCTCCCATTGTTCCGACTCCTGCCAGTCCATTACACCCTCCCACTTTAACCCAAGTCTTCCCACACTGGTTGCTTTTAAACAATAAAACCTAAACACTGCAAAATGTATCAGTCCAATGTGCACTGCCCAAAATCCAGTTTCATAGCCACCAACCCCTCTTGTTAATATGCTCAGTGATTTTGAATCTGGGAGGGCAAGAAGGAGGTGGGAAGCAGGGCCAATAAGGGTGTGTGGCTTGGGGAGAGTCCCAGGGGCCACAGAGAGGGCTTAGAGGGCCATCTGTGGAGCCCAGGCCAGAAGTTCCCCATCCCTGGCATGGATCATGTTCTGTTGGTCTGACTTGTCCTTGCTCCAGGTGCTTTATGAAGCAGAGAAAGGAGGATGCAGGTTCTTCCTCGAGAAACCAGAAGACCGTGACAAATGCCATAGGAAAGGACAGTGCTCATTCCTTACTTGAAGGAAAATCTCATTAAAAACAAAAGGAGGGAAACAACAACTTAAATTAAAAAGCAAATTGCATAAAAAAAAGCCATCCTATTTGTAGTCCTTGCCATAGAGGTTTCTGTTTGAATTTTCATTCCCTTCGCGGGGGCAAAAATGAGTGCTTGGGAGTGCAGTGGGCTAAGGGCAAACTGGGTAAATATTCATTTTTAAGTAGCTAAAATTATGCCTTGCGCTTCAGCATGACTATGAATAAGCAGCCCAGCAAATACGTGTCATTAAGAGCACGGAATTCAGTTCCAAAATATTCATGTCCACTCAACGCTTCCGCTCAAGTGAGTCCCCGGGAACCTTCTTGGTTTTCTAGAGGAACACATAATTAACGCGGAGATTTCTGAAAGCAAACTGCTTCCTAGGTGTCTTCCTACTTATTTCTTACCAAAGGGGTCTGCCTAAGATGGCCTTCAATGCAGAAGCACACACACTTGTGGCGTTGACATCTGGAATGCATGGCAAGGAACTTGCAGGACATCAACTGCCTTATAATGCCCATGCCAGTCGTAGTCATCATTGTGCCCTCCAGATGTTGTTGGACTTCATCTCCCATCAGCCCCGGCCATGGGTCGTGTTAGTTAGCCTGGAGGGCACTTAGTTATCCCTGGTGAATACTGAAAGGCTATAGCTCTCCAAGTGAATCTCACAATGCAAAACACAAGTTGTGGGCACCTGGTATCCACACATCTCGGTGTGTGAGTTATGGCTTTGCGCTCAAGTAGTACAGCAGCCATGTTTGTTTGGGGAAGGTGTGAAAGGGCATCTGCTGTCCTCTGCCAGCCAATGCCTGTTATACATTATAATCCATTTTATCCATTTATGCTGAGCCTGATTAAAAACTCAAACACACAAAACTTGGCTTTAGAATCCATGCTAAAACCACAGCAGTAACCTCACAGCAATTATATGCTGTCAGTAGGTTTTCCAGCTGAATGAAAAGATCTGTGCCTCAGGCATTTGTTTTGTATGCTTTTTAAAACCTCTGTTCGGTTGCGCTTGTACTGTTTGTAAATTATTTGGGCTGTTTCTAAGGATATGTCTGTAATAGGGACAGATGTGTGGAAGGCGAGTCACAGATGTGTTATTACAATGTGGCTTCTGTGGAAGAAGGTGGGGTTTCATAGTGATGACTGGGAGGCCACTGGGCTGGCATGAAAGTCTTCACATGGGCAGAGTAACAGGACCTGGAAGGCTCACTTGCTGCTGCTGCTGCTGCTCTCCCACATAAGCCTTGTTGGGTTGGGGCTTCCCTTTCCCTTATTGATGAAACACTTGCCTGGAAAAAAAGCCATCATCTTTATGATATAAACACATGTACGTCTCATAGAAGCATGGAATTGTAGAGTTGAAAGGGACCCCAAGAGAAATCTAGTCCAACTCCCTGAATGCAGGAATCACAGCTAAAGAATCCCTGTCAGATAGCCATCTGTTTAAAAGCCTCCAATGAAGGGGAGTCCAGTTTAATTCACATGTTACCTAAAAACATAAGCAGAACAAAGCATAATGTGCAAAGAGGGTCCATCTTAGATGTTGTTCTTCCTGCATTCAGATGTAAGAAATAACCCCACCGCTGTGCTTGAACTGAGTGTTGGTTTTGATGCTGAAACTCCTGTTGAGAAACTCCTGACTACCATGTGCTAATGAGTAAGCAAAATTACGTGACTGTACCATGCCATTGTAAAGAGAAGTCGTTTGCCAGCTGAGTATTTCAAAGGTTTTTCCTCATCATGGCTTAAAGTCCCTTTCACATATATATTGCACAGCAAGGATAAATAAACAGTTCAGATTGCCTTGGGTTGTAAATCTGTTATACTGCACTCAGCTCTTTAAGTTAAAATCTGAGCTAAAACTAATACTGTAGCCTGACTTGACTCAAAGAAGAAAAGATTCTGAGACACAAATCCATGCCCAGTTGAAATACAGAATGGCTCTGGATTCAATCTCTCTCTCTCCTTCTCCCTCTCCCTTTCTCTCCTCATTCTTCGTCAGAGAATATCTCAGATTGAGTAAGAGAGACTTGAAAATTGGAAAAAAAAGGGGGGTATGAGTTTTATGAGAGGAGATGGTCTGGATTTTAAATTGCTTCTACGCCTCTGTTGTTTCTTAGGTATATGCAAACCTGCCACCTAGTGGGAAATGGTGAGTGTTTGGAGCAGGTTTGGAAGGTACAGGGGGAAATTCACCAGTGGTGCAGTAGTAACTTTTGAAATGCACAAGGAATTCATCATGGAGTCATGCTCTCTCTCTCTCTCTCTCTCTCTCTCTCTCTCTGTGTGTGTGTGTATTTGTGTGTGTGTTAGAGAGGAGAGAGAGAGAGAGAGAGAGAGAGAGAGAGGAGGGAGGGAGAGAGAGAGAGAGAGAGAGAGAGAGAGAGAGAGAGAGAGAGAAGGAGCATCTGAATTCCAGTTGCTGGAATTACAAGAGAGGAAAGAGCTTTCCCACTCAAGTCCTGCTTGTGGGCTTCCTATGAGCATCTGGTTGGCCATCATGAAAATACTATGTTGGACTCAATGGCCTTTGACTGGATGGCCCAGCTGGTTAGAGCGTGGTGCTGACAACGCCAAGATTGCAGGTTCGATCCCTGTATGGGATAACTGCATTGCAGGCGATTGGACTAGATACTCAGGGTCCCTTTCAACTTTACAATTCTATGATCTAGTGGGCCCCTTCTTAAGTTGTTACACAGCAAAATACCCATTTTATTAGGATCAGCTGAAAGTCACACAACAATTAGCTGCCATTGGGACGGGTAGGGTGGAAGACAGGTATACCTTGATCCGCAGGGTCCTGCAATCCAGGTGCATGGCTTGGCTCTGCCCGATGCATATGTTTCTATGTTGTCAACCACGATGGTGGGCTGGAGTCTTGTGTGAACGTAGGCACACCAGTTCCTGCGTAAATAGGAGGGAGGGAAAGCAAAATTGTACACAATTGATATCATAAATTTAAAAAAAGATAAATGGGAATTGGGGGAACTCCATGCTGTGACTGTCTGTTGCTACATATGCTGTGAGTGTCTTTGCAAGTTGCTGGTCCTCACTGTGCTCTTAATTCCACCTACAAAATAGGGATAATGGCCTGATTAAACGAGGGAGGTCAACAAGCCTCCCAGTGGCTCCACCCTGGACGCAGCTGTTTGCCGAGGGTAGGTGTGTGTCCTCGTTTACAGAGGGCAATCCTCTATTTGAAGGTTTGGATAAAACATAAAAGGACCAAATGAAGGGAAAGTCAAAGGAGACTTGAAGTTACCCATCAACAGTTATCACCTGGGCAAACTAACTAGGTGGGCATGAGGATACCTGGTCACTGTTTGGGAAGATGTATTGCATTTCTAGTTAAATTCTACATTCCCCCCCCCCCAAATTTGCATCTGGATATCTAGAGAAGCAGTTTGCATAATTTTACGCAAATCTGTCTCCTTGTTGGCGACGCATCTCCCTTCCTTTTAATGCGATACATCACACTGCAGTGATGGGGCAGGCATAGGAAGATGCCTGGAGAGCTTGGCCTTCTCTCAGAACAACCTGTGATGACTCTGGTGACAATTTGCAGATGGAAGGAGTTGGAGGTGCCAGTGTGGTGTAGTGGTTAAAAGCGGTGGACTGGTAATCTGGTGAACCGGGTTCGCGTCCCCGCTCCTCCACATGCAGCTGCTGGGTGACCTTGGGCTAGTCACACTTCTCTGAGGTTTCTCAGCCCCACTCACCTCACAGAGTGTTTGTTGTGGGGGAGGAAGGGAAAGGAGAATGTTAGCCGCTTTGAGACTCCTTCGGGTAGTGATAAAGCAGGATATCAAATGCAAACCCCTCCAAGACCCCATTCAAAGTCGCCACCAGAGCGAAATCAGATTTGGGGCTGCGCGACCTGGGTGCTGAGCCTAGGGGGCGCTGCAGGGCTTCTCAACGAGGACAGAATAAATTGAGCAGAATGAAAGGTGAGAGGGTGCTGAACTTCAGCCTTGCATAGGACATCCCTCAAATTTGAAAGACTAAAGTCCACCCCAACATAGGTTTGTCCCTGGAATGCAAGGATACTGCTGTGCCTTCACTTTCTGACAAGGTCGCTCTTCAGCTATTGAGTAATGGTTTTCAGAGCCAGTGCATTTCCCCTTTAGTCCCTTTAATGTTTCTTTTTCCATTCTTTGTGGGGGCTCCAGGGGATCTGCAGCAGGGCAATAATTCTTTTTAATTGGTATGCATGTATATAAAAATCAATATTTCTGTATGAAGCTTTGTTTGGGTCTTTTCCCTGCAGTAAACCTATAGATGTGATTTGAGGGTAATTTTCTTTTCCCCTGTCCCTTTCGCTCCTTTTTTCCTTCTGGCGTTGTCAGGAAGAAGCAATTTAAGTGAAATAAAAATGCGCTATAATAATTTACCATTGTTGTTATTATCATCGTCTTCATCATCATTATCATCAATATTATGAATATCACACCACTGGGGTTGCATTTCAGAGAAAGTTCTAACATTGCAGCAGATAAGATGTACACACACACATACACTTTCCATGTGTTCAGCTGGGAAGGGAGGGAGGTAAATATCTCTCCCTTGGAGTTAGAAAAGGAAAAGGAAAAAAGCATATGGCAGTTTTAAAATTATTATTATTATTTTGCTGGATCAGGCTTGGAATAAATGAATCATCTATCTAACACTTTTAACTCTGTTCACTATTTCATCCTGTTTCCACATTGATCTGAATTCTTTAAAAAAAAAGAACTTTGTATGAAAACGTGCATTTAAACGCACATTTAAATGTGTATATTCAAACATATTCTCTTACAAAATAACTTTTCCAAATGTCTTCTCTCTCAAGAAAACACATTTTCAAATGAACTTTGAAGCCTTTTGTTTGAGGCTTCCACATGTCTGCTTTAACCATAACCCTCCCTCTAAGGAGTTTGGGCATTAAACATTGTTTCACCACCACAACTTTGTCCTCACAACGGTCCTGTGAGGTAGGTCAGGCTGAGACACAGCCTCAGAGTCCCCTGCAAGCCTGATGACCAAGTGGAAATTTGAACCCAGGTTCTCCCCAGTTCAAGCCTAACACACTGCCTATGAACCCCACACGGCTGGAAGAGGCAGAGTATTGCTGCCTGAGAATTCTCTCCGGCTGCCTCCAGTCTTCCTGGGTACACGGTAAAAACGGATGACGGTGTCCTGATGATGGGTCCTTTGCATTGGCCAGACTTCCGTGCATATGCCAGAGTTGGCAAGGCAGGCATAACTCATCGATTACATGCCGACACTGATGCGTTTTGGAGCAGCTGCCTTGGGGCCTTGGCAAATGCCTTGACCAAATCGCCCCGTGGAGCCAGCCTTGATCATTCATAACAATGATCATTTGGGAAAGCAAGGTGATGAAGGAGGGGGGAAAGAACCAACAACCCATATCCTTTCTTTTTAAAAGCAAGCTTGCAAGGATAGGGGGGAAATGAGTTAATCTGAATGCTCATTAGCAAAAGAATATTAGGAGGGCGGGCTGTGGTGCTAGAATCCAAAGGGAGTGTCGTCTGCTGGCTTAAGGGGTTGGCTAGACTTTTCTACCTTCTGCACATATGGTGCAGTTGGCAGCACAGGCCCTAACTGGGTACAAGCTGGTGTGTTTTGGAGCCATCGATCTCAGCCTGCATCCCTGCAGCATCCCTGGACCACCCTGGCTGAGTCTGGCTGGGTGCCCCCATTCTCTTCATCTCCCCACCACTGCGCCCATCATGTGAAGTTTTATTAATGCGAAATGAGAACATCTTTCACCGGATTTATTAGTAACAGTAGCATTATTCTTGTCAAGAGCAAATGCCTTGAATTCCTGCCTGTACCTGCGAGGTAGAAGAAGAGTTTGGATTTGATATATCCCGCTTTATCACTACCCGAAGGCGTCTCAGAGCGGCTAACATTCTCCTTTCCCTTTCTCCCCCACAACAAACACTCTGTGAGGTGAGTGGGGCTGAGAGACTTCAGAGAAGTGTGACTGGCCCAAGGTCACCCAGCAGCTGCATGTGGAGGAGTGGAGACGCGAACCTGGTTCACCAGATTACGAATCTACCGCTCTTAACCACTACACCACACTGGCTCTCTTTCCAGGCTGACTCCTTCCAGCTTGCAGGTCTGAAGGGGAGCCTACCTTATCCAGACTTTCCAAAACAATATGAATAAGAAACACAGCCTTCCTTCAAAATCCACACTTCTTCCAATTTCGCAATGCAATTCTCCAAGCAAACAATGCACATTGTTACAGGTCTGGTATAGCAGAGTTTGGGGGTGCAAGGGTTAGAATGTTAGGTAATGTTAGAAATTAAGGAAGGGTAGGATTCAGGCAGAGGGATGCGGGTGGCGCTGTGGGTTAAACCACGGAGCATAGGGCTTGCCGATCAGAAGGTCGGCGGTTCGAATCCCCGCGAAGGGGTGAGCTCCCGTTGCTCGGTCCCTGCTCCTGCCAATCTAGCAATTTGAAAGCACATCAAAGTGCAAGTAGATAAATAGGTACCACTCCAGCGGGAAGGTAAACGGCGTTTCTGTGTGCTGCTCTGGTTTGCCAGAAGCAGCTTAGTCATGCTGGCCACATGACCCGGAAGCTGTACGCTGGCTCCCTCAGCCAGTAAAGCGAGATGAGCGCCGCAACCCCAGAGTCAGTCATGACTGGACCTAATGGTCAAGGGTCCCTTTACCTTTAGGATTCAGGTAATATTTGGAGTATGGGAGGGACAATGTCAGGCCAATGAAAAAATACAGGCAGAGCTACTTTTCCAGGCCAAGGTCTCACTTGGGATAGAAGTCTTTAAAAGTGACAAAAGGTGCAGGGAGCAAGTCATTAATTCACCAGTGGAATCCATCAACCAGGCAGGAGGCTCTGCTGGTGAGGGGGGAGGTTGCCAAGGAGGCGGGTGTGTGATGTGAAATTTAGAGGTTGGGGAAGGAGGACTCTGTGAGCTGCTGTGAGGGCTGGCACCATCTTGGCAGGCTGGGAAAGAAGCATGGAGATGTCTGAGAATCCAGTGCTGTGCTGCTGTGAAGGATGGGCTGCTCCTGAGATGTGAATGCTGTGAACTCTCTTTTTAATGAAAGCTTCCAGTACAAATATGTGTAAATAAATCGCATTTCAAAGACACCGCAGACTCTACTGCGCCTCATTTCTCCCAACAGAACACAGACCCTGGTTGAGTTCCAAGACACCTTAGAATCTCGTGCACTACTTGGCAGAGATTGGGCTGGCCAGGAGCCATACAATGTGGTAAAGTATGCAAAATAAATAAATAAATAAATAAATAAATAAATAAATAAATAAATGCATATACAGTGGTACCTCAGGTTAAGTACTTAATTCGTTCCGGAGGTCCGTACTTAACCTGAAACTGTTCTTAACCTGAAGCACCACTTTAGCTAATGGGGCCTCCTGCTGCTGCCGCGCCGCCAGAGCACGATTTCTGTTCTCATCCTGAAGCAAAGTTCTTAACCTGAAGCACTATTTCTGGGTTAGCGGAGTCTGTAACCTGAAGCGTATGTAACCTGAAGCGTATGTAACCTGAGGTACCACTGTAGACACAAAAATTGCATAGAAAATGTGTACCTTATGAAAAGATGTACATTGATGCATTGAGATGCCGATTAATTATCATGAGGAATTTTTAAATAAAAACAAAACAAAACAAAATGCAAAGAAGAACTGGACGTAAGACTTGGAAAATGAGAGGAAAAAATAGGGAGTCAGCTACACACCTGTAATTATAACATTATAAGTGCATTACAGAAATGTGACACCAGATGGCAGTGTAAAGCTCAATGGCTAATTGCACATACATATATATATTTTATAGCGGGTTTTCTTCCATAGCATTTCCATAGCATTTTTTATATCTGTGTAGATCCGGCCCAAGAGTGATGTATTTGCC